CCCCCAAAACCCCAAAACCCCAAAACCCCAAATAACTTCTATAACCTAAAACAGTAAGAATTTAGCTAACATGCAATTGTAATTGCACTATTTTGCCTCCAATTCCTTCCAGATTATCATACCTCACTAAGCTCTATATGTTTAAGGCAAAGGGACATTTCAGAATGACTGAAGTAAATTTATCAGATGCGTAAATTGCATTCTAACTCTATAATTTTGTAGCATCTCTCATAAAATGCTGACTCAGAAATTAGGTGTTAAAAGTGCCTATACTTAAATTTATATGTAGCTCTGAATTTATGCTTATCCTCACTGAACTCTTCAGAATCTGGACTTCCAGCCTAGTTGTGTAATCATGGGTAGTTTAGTAGTCAAGCATATTGAGGAGGATTAATATATTTATTTGAAAGTATCCCAGGTCATTACCATAGGACTTACCTCTCGCCGACTAGATAGGTTCTTTATTTTACGATGTTCTGATTGGGTTAGAATAGGGATGTAGTTACTAGCAGGTGAGAGATGCCTATTTTTTCGCCCAGACCCACCCTCATTCTCTTCATAAAGCTCAGATTTCGTATTCTGACGCGTCATGTTATTAGCAGTGTGCATTGTGGTCACCCCAGATGAGCACAGAATTGATGTAGAGAAGATCTTTCTCTTCTGCTGCCCACCCATTTTTGGAGGAGAAGATTTTTGGTAATTTGATTGTTCTATAATTGTTAAACCAAGTTTTTACTGTTCTTTAGACCAAAATTTGTTGCTAATTTATTGATAACATTTCAGACATCTGGTTTATGATATTTCTGATTTCTTAATTTATGAAAATATTTCCTAACAAAAGGATTCACTTTTGCGTTGGATCTACTGCTATTACAATTACTGAAATTATTCCTTTGAATAACCCTACTGTTGGACATAAATGAGGTATTTTTCTCTTTATAGTCACTAATCTCTCTCATTTGGTTTATCTGATCCTGCACGGAGAAGAAATTTGTACCAAATTTTGAGTAGTCAATTTCAGGAGTCATTATGTCTCTCTTTCTTGGGGTAAATATATTTCTGGTATCTCCGGTGGCATCATTGCTACGTTTTTTACCCCTGACAGAGTCCAGGCTGAACTCATGCCTCGGGTTATTTCTCTTCTTAGCTTTCAATTTTGTGCCTTTCAGGTCAATATTTTCTAGCCGCTTGAAAATCCTTAAATTTTCCTTCCTCAAAATTTTTGAATTCACTCGTAGTTTTCTCTCCCTGTTCTTCCTCATGTATTTTAGAAAAGTTTGTCTGTAATTTGGAGAAGTGATCAAACTTGAGGGCTTTGTCTTCTGCATTCGTACTATTAAGAAATTAAAACTTTCCAAAATATGTACCAATCAGTGAAATAACTATATATTTTACTAATGATAAAAATTTTCCAAAATTTGAATTTCTCCGATGCCAGTGGAGGTTTACCAAGGGAGAGAAGGGCCCTTTTTTGGCTTACTTACTTTTATGACTAACATAGTCCTTCATTTGGCTATATAGGAACAGTTATTTTTGATTATTACTAACAAAATTTAAATAGAAGTAGTATGGCCAGTACTCTATTTCGTAATTAGAATAATTCATTCAAAACGCATGACATAAACATAATTTGCTTCTTGTGCTATATATTTTACAACAGCACATTTTTATAGTAAAATTTCAGGCCAATAAAGCTCAGAAATTCATGTGAAATCTAATGACAGCCTTTTAAAGGATGTCAGCATGTTTGCCGATGAAGTTGAATTATATCTACAGGTTATCTACACACTTAGTATTAACCATAAAAGATGTTTTCATCCCAGCTTTGTGATTTAATTACTAATAATCTAGGTTCAGATACTAAGCTTGTTTAGAAGAATTCGGATTTAGCAAAACTCATCAGTAATAGTTGAGCATGTGTAATTGGAAAGGAATAAAGCCACCTATTACTCAAAATCAATTGTATTATGAACACCAATGGGTTTTAGTCACGAAAAGCATATAGGAATTGTCAATGTCAGGAGTATTCTCTGAACAAAATGCAATAAGACTCATTAGGCTAGATCATGTTCTCCAATAAGAGATTCGTCTTCCAAACCAAGGATAATTTAAGTTCAATTTGGTATAAATTATCTTCATGAAGTAATGCTTACAGGAACTCTTTATATTTACTTCCTTGTGTATGCCAGGCCATTAATAATTGATTAACTTATTTCAATGTTATAAAATATAAAAGGGGTTTTGGGGTTTTGGGGTTTTGGGGTTTTGGGG